ACGGTAATGAAAACGCCAATAAAGCAGCTAAACTATCCCTCAAAATCCCAGAAATAAGCTTAAACTTACCCATCTCAAAATCAGAAATTAAAAGTGTAAACAAGCAAAAAATCACAAAAAAATGGCATAACCTATATCTAAACTCAAATAGCCAAATCAAAAAAGTGCTCAGCAAACCACTAACCAAGCCAAAAATTCTCCATTCATCAAAAAAAATCGACAGAGTAATCACTAAACTCCAAACAGGACACACCAACCTAAATAACCACCTAAAAAAAATAAAAAAACACACTACAGGTAACTGCCCACACTGCAAACAACCAGAAACCTCAGAACACGCACTCATCCACTGCACACACTACCTAACACATCGAACCGCATTACAAACCACCCTCAATCTAAACAAGGCTCTCATTCTAGAAGCAATACTAAACCCACAAAATAAACTAGAAAACTTCAAGGCCTTAGGCGTATTCTTAATAAAAACGGAACTAATAAAACGCATCTAAAAACACAACCTACCAAATCAAAATCACATAAACAAACAAACATCCACCATACCCAGCTCCCTTAGTTCTCCTCCCCAACCCCATCGGCATCTATTCCAAATCTCAAAATTCCCAAATTCTATATAAGCAACCCCTAAACCCCCCTCTTGAGATGCACAGACCACTTTCGCCCCTTTCGGAAACACATTAAATGGCCTGGCCGGGCCCGTGTGCGAAATACGCATCAGTCGGAAAGCGCACAATAAATCTCCCAAGTAAGTAAGTAAGTAAGTTAGCACTATCCATCACTTGCTTGATAAAGGTGTTAAGATCTTCACCGAAACGTCGCACTAATTGTAATAAGAAGTTGTTCATCCATAGAACTTGTCATTCTTCATCACACCAACTTCTAAATGCCACTGAAAGAAGTTATGAGGATGATTATCGACTTAAAGATCCTCAACATTCTCAAAAAATTCCTAGTACCTCCTCCAATGTTCCAGATGGAATTCGGATGGTAGTTGCGGTCAACTTTTAGGACAGGAGATTGGCTCATCAGCCTTGACCTACAAGACGCCTATCTTCACGTCCTGATACACCCATCGTCACCAAAATACCTGCGCTTTGCAAGGTCGGCGCTATGAGTTCCCACTCTTACCATTCGGGATATCAATAGCCGCTTGTCTGTTTACCAGGATTACAGCACCAGCCATCAGGTTTTCCCACCTCCAGCTAGTACGATTCCATGGGTACCTGAACGATTTCCTGGCAGCAGACCAAGAGGAAGCTCAGTTACACCAGAACATGGTCCAGCTTATGACCTACCTAGGCTTCCTAGTCATTCCCTCCAAGTCCGAGACCACTCCGGTTCAAGACATCGTATACATCAGAGCGCGTTCACAACTTCACAAGAGAGATCTATGTCGACCAGAGGATCGATTCGTCAAGACTATCACGATGATTCAATCACTATCAAGTCAACCCAGCAGGTCTCCAAGGCGAGGGATGTCTCTTCTTGGCAACCTAACGTCTCTTCATGATATGACCTTCAGACGATCTCACGGTACAAGGATCTTGGAGCACCGGAGAGAGGATCCTACATATCAACTGCAATATAAGGAAGGCCATCTATTACGCCATCCTGGCATGGAAGATACATCCTCATAGCCACAGACAACACCACAGTAGTGGCATACATTCAGGAACAAGGAGGAACCAGATCCAGTTCTCTGATGATGGAGACTACAAGATTGTTTGCCTTGGCAGACTCCATCAGTTGCCAGATGGAAGCGAGACATATTCCCGGGAAGCTGAACAATCCTTGCCGACAGCCTTTCCCGCCAAGGGAGAGTAGTGGAAACAGAATGGACCTTACATCCCCAGATCTTTGCTTGGATAGCCACGTTATCGGACACACCATACCTAGATCTCTTTGCCACCTGCCAGAAACATAAACTTCCGGTTTATGTCAGTCCAGTTCCTGACTGAATGGCTCACAAGATAGATGCGCTATCAATGGATTGGACAGGTCTATTTGCATATGCATTCCTACCAAGGGGCTCTCCTAGACAAGGTCATCCGCAAGGTCGAGGAGACAGATTGCATGATAATCTTGATAGCACAATCTGATCCAGCAGAGCGTGGTACCCCAGATTATTAAGTCTATTAATGGAAGAAGCTCTCCAGTTACCTGTCTGTCGTGATCTGTTACGACAGCCCAAGCCATACATTTTCCACGACAACATGCCCAGCCTACATGTAACCATCTGGAAGTTCTCACGCAAAAGATGCAGACATCCAGGTACTTTGAGCTTGCCTTGGAAGCTGTGGAAGACCTTCATCCTCCCTTATATATGACAAGAGGATCCAACACCAGCAGCATCAGAGGGTGAGTACACCCTTGATTATTCTGTCTATTAGGTGTTGGATGGATTATGAGCACCTTGAGTATCAATGCTTACAGCACTGGAAGTGACTTCAGCGCCGGAAAAGCAGTACAAGTTCAATCTAATCAGGAAATGACGTCTTTTAGGTAGAAGAGACCATAAGAGACGTCATTATCCAATAAAAGGGAAATGACAAACTGGAAGTGACGTCACACCTGGAAGTGATGTCAGAACCAGAAGTGATGTCAGCACCGGAAATAGTGTCACAAATCCAATTTTAACAAGAAATGACATCATTTGGTAGAAATAGACCAGAAATTATAGCATTATTACAAACAAAATCAGCAAATGTAACACTAATTCACAGTATTGGACGTCAGCACCGGAAGTGACATCAGCGTCAGAAATAGCAGTTCAAGTTCCATCTCATCAGGAAATGACGTCTTTTAGGTAGAAGAGATCATAAGAGACGTCATTATCCAATAAAAGGTAAATGACAAACTGGAAGTGACGTCACAAACAACGCGTGGGCGGTCCTGATGTATGGTTCCTGTAGGAAGTGACAACTTGGAGACGATGGCTTGCGGTATATACAGTTTTACTTGATACATGTAGATATATACATACAAAAGACACTATGTGCCAGGTCAGCACATGGTGTTAGTGGTTGTTGTCTAGGTGCCCCAAGAGCACTCAGCCTAACCATAGCTAGGCTAAGGGTAAGACCTTTCTTTCTTCTTTTTCTGGACCAAGGCTTATATATAGCCAAGGTCACCTGACATTTAGTAAGTAATAAATATAAATGTAAACAGTAATTCATCAACAGGATGGCAGACGGACGATGTACACAAAAATGGGGATTAACAATTAGGATTAGCATCTTATAAATAACAGCAATTAAGTGTTTCAAGGCATATAGATGTCATGGCTCCAGGGTAATGAGCCTTTGCAATTAAATGTTCTTCAGACAATGGGTGTTGTAAATCAGTCGCTATGACAACTTCCCTCCGTTACGTGAAGCTTGGACCCCAAGCTTACATGAGTCCAAATTGATATGTGTGAACTTTTTCACCAACGAAAACAACCATGCAAATGTGAACAAAATCAGTTACATGAAATCCTTATGCAACAAATATATCTATGCAATGACGGTATGAAAGCAGAGACCATATAATAGAGGGACGGCCCTCTAGCCAATGCGCGAAACCATCAGCGCTACGGTTTGTACTGCGCAGCCTGTCCGGAAGCAAGCGAAAACGTGTGTTCACTGCAGTCATCGTAGTCGCCTTTTTTACCATACAAAGGTAAGATTTCAAAATATATTTTTATGCTCACGTATTTCTTAACATTGTCAACATTACGACTGAGATTTGTTGATGCGCTAAAGCATATCGTTGTTATTGTATTCGATGAAATGGTCACGCTTTGTTGTTGTTCGTGTGAGCAAAATGGCGAACATGTAAATTTGGGAAAAGTGCGTATTTTGACTTTCAATAACGGCCACTAAATATCAATAAAAGTCCTTGGTTACCAAGTTGTGTGCAAAGCAGATATGTCAAAAAGTGGCTTAGTGGTATTGTTAAATCTGTGGCAGTCGCGTTATGTCTGATTTTGACTGCGGAAATGACACTAAATCTGACTTTTCCCGAAATAATTACACCACAACACTTAATTTTCGCATGCGTTCAGACTAATGTTTTTTTCTATTTGCGGTATTGAAATAAATATGTTTAAATTCGTCACGATTTCCTCCGTGGCTTGGTACCACCCTTATTTTGCTACCATCAGTATTTATTTTTTTATGATTTTTGGCGCTAACCCACATTTTCGTCATATATTCACAGTTAAGTGTGCCCAAAAGCAGACGACATAACACCTCTTTTGTCTGTGATTTTGGTACAAATATATTTTTCAAGGCATTGTAATAATTTTCTATTTTTGTATTGATATCAGAATATATTTTGTAAGATCCATATTAAGTTTTTGACGATTTGTTCAGCCATTTCATTGTAAGTCTAACATTACTATTAACTTTTTTCACTTTAATGGGTCTCTTGAACCAAACCTGCTGAAGAAAACTTTAGATAATTTGTCAATGATTATATTTTTATTTAGAAAAAGTCTTTGTTTAATTTTTGTTTTATTAAAATATTTTATATGTATTCTCCCTAATAAATGCTAAATAAACATTATGAGTTATATGACCTGGACAATCATTAATAATGTAAATATGATTAAGGAACTACACATTTTGTGTATTAAGACAACAATAAAATCATCATCCAACATTGTTTTCATTGTATGCAATAAATATATACATTCCTATATTCCTCTCTCTCTCTCTCTCTCTGGGCGGTCGGGTAGCCTGGTGGTTAAAGCGTTCGCTCGTCACGCCGAAGACCCGGGTTCGATTCCCGACATGGGTACAATGTGTGAAGCCCATTTCTGATGACCCCCGCCATGATATTGCTGGAATATTGCTTAAAGCGGCGTAAAACCATACTCACTCACACTCTCTCTCTCTCTCTCTCTCTCTCTCTCTCTCTCTCTCTCTCTCTCTCTCTCTATATATATATATATATATATATATATATATATATATATAGTTTAATTTGTTTACATTGTGTCTAATATATAGTTTTGTTTTGTAGATGCCAAGAAAAAAGAAGACTTGTATTGGCCGTCGTCGGAAAGGGTACTCCAAGAGAGGTCCGAGACAAGAACTAGGCTCTCTCTCTGACCATACCTATTCATCAGTTCAATCAACAGTGCTTGATGATTACAAGTAAGTCATACATTTCTTTTAACTAATGTTGCACACCAAAGTAGGGGTATCACTGAGTATCACGATTAATGATATGTCTGAAGTAATGGTATGTTGGTTATGTATCAGTACAGTTTTTTATATATCAAAGTACCTAAAATAAATAATTGATAAATATCAAAGCACATGAATTATCAACAAGTATTAAAATTGTAACTTTTCTTATCTAAAGAATGTTTTATGCGATACTATTCAGTATAATTCCATTGTGAGTTTGAGCAGGTGGACTAATTAAATGATTTTGGCATCCTCCATGCTTTTTTTTCGAAGTAATAATAATGTGTATTTCCTTTTTCAGTTCAAGAGATGTGCTCTGGGATGAAGCATGGAATTCCTTCTTCATTGACATCTGTGATGACCCCATTGACATACCCTACCTTGGAGAAGCGATGGATTCTGATGGTTGCTCGGCCAATGAATTCTTTGTCATTCTTGACAGTGTACACAAGTATCATCCTGATAATGACTTAGATAATTTTGTTGATGGCATCCTGCAGTACCTAAAGTACCAACTGTTCTTATCATTGAAAAAGGAACTATTCAGGCATGCTGATGAGCTTGGCGAATTCACCATTTTGAGAAACAAGCGAGAGGAAGTGAACTTGGTGCAGTGTTATGATAGTGATGTTGCAGCGGTTCAACTCTCAGTGGTCATTAGGCCTTCTTTTGAAGCCACAGTTTATGCTCATTAGTGAAGGAGCTACTTCAACTATATCTGCATACAGAGAAGGAGACTTTGGTGCCAACATAGATGGAATAGCGTATAGTTCCACAATGCGTTCGTTGATGTGTCAGTTTTTGATTTCACGGAGAGACAGATGTGGTCCTTGCAGCAGATACAGAGCCACACTCCGAGCTAATGCCAGAAGAGAGAGTCTGTCCCCGAAAACCCCTAAACTAACTTCATTTACTCATACTACCCACAAGAACATGTCAAAGATGGAAGTCATCCAGAAGTATGAACTGATGAAAATCAGCCGCAATTCCATTCAGTCTGAAATGGAGCGTTTGAAGAGAACAATAAGCCAGACAATTTCACAGAAAGGTCTTACGCTAAGTGTTTCAAGCGACTCTGATTTTTCGCAATTATTGAAAGACCACCAAGATGAAGTAATGCACGATTACCCTGATGAGACATCTATTCAGAGACTTTTTTAGGAGCAACAAATGAAATACAATAAAATTAAAGACAAGCGGGCAATGCGATGGCATTCGATGGTAATTAAATGGTGTCTTTACATGCGTAGTAGGAGTCGGAAGGCCTATGAAGTTGCTGGAAAATCTGGATTCATCGCTTTGCCGAGCAAAAGGACATTGTATGATTATTCACATGCCCTTCCAAGTTCACTTGGCTTTCATCCCAGCTATTCAAAACATTTAAAGGAAGAAGCGAAGTCACTTGGAATGCTTGACATTGAAGAAAGATCGTACGTTGGCATACTTCAAGATGAAGTTAAGGTTTCTGAAGGCCTCGTATATGACAAACACTCGGGTGAACTTGTTGGATATGTGGATTTAGACAGGACTGGTAACGATTTGCTCAGTTTAGAGGAGTCAATAACTGGCGGCAAACCACAACTGGCTAATACCATGTTGGTCCTCATGATCCGTGGTATCATTACAGATTTGAAGTATCCATATGCAGCCTTTGCCACGAGGGGTATAACAGCAGACTATTTATATCCCATACTTTGGACAGCTGTTCTAAATTTAGAAAGCATTGGACTGAAGCCGCTGTTTATTACATGTGATGGAGCTTCATCAAATCGCAAGTTTTTCAGCCTACATGAAGTGCCCGAATTGAATAATTTTTTCTGGACATGGAATCGATACAGTCATCCACACAGGAAGATTTACTTTATATCTGATGTTCCTCATCTTATTAAAACCACAAGAAACTGTTTTGCTAATTCCGGATCTCACAAGAAGACCAGAGAGCTGTGGAAAGATGGACGTGATGTTAGTTGGCTTCATATGTTGAAGTTTTATGAAGAACATGTGGAAAATGAATTGTTTTGTAAAACCTACAAGCTTACAAGAGATCACATTGACTTGTCACCATATTCAACAATGAAAGTTAACCTGGCTGCACAAATATTTAGTAGTTCAGTGGGAAACGCTCTTGAGGACTTATATGGGGACCCAGTCCAAGAAACTGTGAATCTTATCAGACACATGAACCGTTTTTTTTATTGTCTTAACACGCGGAGTTTGCAAGAAGGAATCATAGCCCGGAACAGTGACAAGAAGGAGTATCGCAGCATTAATGATCCCAGACTGCATTATCTTCTCAATGAATTCTTGGATTTTTTCAAAGCCTGGGAGGATAGTGTCATGAGACGACATGGGCAGTTTACCTTATCACAAAGGAAGCGTATGATGCTCAGTCATCAAACTCTCAAAGGACTAAAAATATCTGTGAATTCCATTGTAGAATGTGTGCGATTCATGCTCACAGCCGGTGCAGAATTTGTATTCACCCACCGATTCAACCAAGACCCTCTAGAAGAACAATTTGGACAGTATCAACACAAAGGAGGCTCAAATGACAATCCCTCAGTTTATGCTGTTAAACATGCCTTTTCACAGATGAAGGTCCTCGCTTCCTCTGCGCTCCAACCTATACGTGGCAACATTTCGAACAAGAGGCCACAACAAATCTTGACTGTTGATAATGCGGCTCTCCCTAGGCGTAAACAGAGGCGTGTATAGTGTACTCATTGGGGAGAAGTAGAAAAACTTGTTGATGAGTTTAGATAATAGAAAATTAGAGAAACGTGTAATTAATATCCCTGAACTTGTTCAGATTGATTTCAGTGCCCACAAAACTTTTCAATGCACATGTTTTTGTATCGAGTGTACCACTCACATGTATTGTAAGAATATTGTAACTTAAACATGTTTAAGACTATTAACACAAGACAAACACAACAGTAGACTGGGGAGGTTGAATGAATGACATGATGACAATTTATTATTCTTGTTGAACATACTGATTTTGATTGACTGCCATGACCCATCTTCAATGATAGATTCTTGTAACATGTTATGTTTGTTTTTTAACGCGACTGAGCAATATTCCAGCTAAATGATCGTGGTCTGTTAATAATCAAATCTGGACCAGACAACCAAGTGATCATGAGCACCTGATCCCATTAGTCGCCTCTTATGACTAGATGACTGTCACTGTCCATTAGAAGTGTACACATTCTCAAATGACATCAACGTGATGGTTAATGGAAATTGTCTCTGGTTTTCAAGGCTTTTCTCAGTGACTGGCTCTTTTTGCCCTCGTTAGTTTTTCTCTCTATCTTTTTCTTTTTTTGCTGTTGACGCTTCAGGAACTTGGCAACAGCCCCGCCACGCACATTTAGGAACAAAGTGATTAGAAATTCTAACAATTTTAGTTTCAATTCTTCTTCACAAACAACTAACTTGTCCCAGTAAAAGTGTACCATATGGTTGGTTAGAATAACTTCCTTCAATTTGTCACAGAGAAGGGAGTACAAATTAAGGTGGGAGAGATTTACTTGACGGACAGCAATTTCAATTGACCGCACAAGAAAAAAGCAATTGTCACTAGGAAGAGTAAGGCCACCCCTGTTGATTTTTTCAGTCCATTTTGAAAATCTGCTGATGTAGCTTTCTTTTGACTCTGTTGATGTGCGAAGATTGTCGATGACAGTCTCGATGTTGTTGCCGCTGATTGTCTTCTTTTTTAGCAAAGCATGGACAATGTACCCTGAGATGTAATATAAAACTGCCTGGTCATTTTCACTGATATGGTTGGCTTGCTTCTCATCAGCTGTCTTCATGGAATCTGATAGAACTTGAAGGAGGGTTTGAATAATCCGATCTAGCAAACACTGAGTGAAGATGTGTATTATCCTGATTGGTTGGCTGCTGACTTCCTCTATACAGGTGCACATGCTTGAAAGGAAATCTTCCTCCAGACACAACTGGTGATAACTGCTCCAGAGTGCCTCTCGGTCACTTGACAGCGACCTCCCGTGGCCGAACCCCTTGAAAACTTTATGGAACCTTGGTGTCACAATGTCAATTAAATCATCAGTGGTATCTGCATCTTCATCAAGGGACTTGGCAACTTGGATCAGATCTTGACCAATCGTTGAACCTGACTGCAATGCATCCATCATTGGGTCGCAAATGATCAATTACAGTGCCTTTGGTACTCCATTCTTTAATGCGTCCTTCATTTCAGTTACATTTGCAAGTGGCATAGACATTGTACTGTGTTTTTCATCCGATTTGGAGATGGGTGGCTTGCCTGTCGTAGCGCTTGCTTGCCTATGCTCATGGGCTGAAATCATTAAGATATTTACCAAATGAAATCATACTCTTTTTAAACGTGTAGAAATTACCTAGGGGATAGGCAAAATCCCATGTAAAAAATCATCACTTATTTATTATTGTATATTTAAAATATTTAGATCTAGTGAAGTTATTTTTACTTTTGTTTTTTAATTTGCATTTCAAATCCTGAAGCAACAACTGAAAACTATTTTGTGTTGCACCAAGTTACCAAGATCAAATTTTAATTTATTTCAAAAATTATTTTATTCTGTAGTTTTGTTATACTGGAATTACAATTTTGTCCTACATACTTTGATGTATATGTTTTAGTTGTGGCTAAATCCAAAGTAATGGTGTATTAAAAATAAAATATCATTTATACATCTATTGTCAATTTTTATAATAAATATATATTCATATCAGAACTTATGGTATTTTGTTTTGTTTCAATAATAGTAGTTGCATGTCTCGTGCCAAGTTGAAGTTTAACTTGGTATTTGATTGATCAGAAGTAAACAGAAAACTTAATTAGCACAGTTTAGAATATTACAACCGTTACTCCTGGATGCGATATTTATATCTCGTACTAAGCTTGTTGCTGCTGCACTGTTTCACACGCCAGACCGAATTATTTGGATGCTGAACTTGGAACTTTTCCGTAACCTCCCTTTGAAAAACTGTCGCGTTACGGCCAACAGCATTATCACTGCTAGCCCCAAACTTGCATTATCTAATAATATTGGATAAACAGCGAAGCGCATTATCGGTCACATCGAAAATTCGCTCAACAACGCTCGGAGATATGTGAAATTATAATTTCTTTGGAAATATTGCCTATTAGCAGAGACCATATAACAGATTAATATATGGTCTCTGCTATTAGCTATTTACAAGACTTCTTTCATGGGAATTTAGAAGTTGGAGGATAGGAATTCATGGATGAACAACTTTACAAGACATAAAAAATATACTGGGAATTAATAGCGTCATTTTACTGGCTGATAGTAATTTTAAAAGCAATTACGCGAGCCCTATTCCAGAGAATAGGTTTATTTGCCAAACAGTCTGGTCTGTATATTTATTAAATAATTTTAGATACATTTTGAATGTTATTGTTTCTTAACATCGAGAATATTGTGACCTGATAAAACTGTCTTGCTGGCGACTGTTTTTGTTTATTTACACCTGCGTAATTTACCGGATCGTATTTATCAGTGACATCCGTAGATGATTTTGTAACTTTGATTTTTGATAATAGTTATACAATGGTAACATAAAATAACATAAATATACTGATTTTTGGAAATAAAATAGATCTAAATTATAATACCTTTGATATCGGATCGGTTGTGCTTCTTCTTCACGTGCCCCCGAAAACCTACAATTGTTTTGTAGGATTTGGAACACTCGGGACACTCGTAGACAGCCGTCGTATTTTCTTTTCCAATTGTTTTCTTTGATTGAAACCTTTTGGGAGATTTTACCAACGGTTTGGTACCGGTAACATCACTGTCATTCTCTTCAGACCAAGAATCATCCGAAACCAACCCCTGGTCGTAGTCTGTGAATTCTCCAAGTAAAATATCGAGGTCCAAGTCGGAATCGTCCCAGTGAATGAAGTCGTCCATGGCTATGCCGAATGTTAATCGAAATAAATGTATCGGGCTTATAAAGACATGCATTTCCCGGAAGACACACATGTTTAGCAGTAATTTGCAGCCAATTGACATGTGCTAATGAGAGATAAGATAAAGATTATTGTAATCTGGTTAGGGTCGTCGTTTTATTGGATTGTCGCTGGTCGCAGTTGGAGAAATCTCGACTAAGGGAATTAACTCTAGCCCCGGATATTATGTAATATTGTTTACGTGGTTACCAGACTGGTCAGTCGTGAATATCTGCGCATCTGTTGCGCACGTGCAGCGGTTCCGGGAAAGTTAACAGCGGGGGTCGGGGTGTATCAGTTACATGCCAGACCGTAGCACTGATGGTTAGTGATACTTAGTTACTGTTGGGGAGGGCCGTCCCTCTATTATATGGTCTCTGATGAAAGTGATCATCTAGCCAATGGGTGCTCTTCCCGTGTCTTTGACGGAGCTTGCCCAGATATTGTGGGTGCGATGCCCGAGAAAGAAAATCCTTAATTCCGACATCAAAACTCTGAAATGCTGAATACTGCTGTGCTGTTAATTACTTAGTACTGACATACAATAAACATATGTGTGGGGGTGGCTCACTCAAGAATATCCCTAATCTAAATTTAAAGTCCTAGACAATACATTCAGTTTTGTACCAAACTGTGCACATTATTAACTTGTAACAAATGACAAATTTTGTCGTTTAGATTTTTGAAATTATGTGTCGAGCTTTAAGGTGTGACTCGATAACCCTACAGTTTATGTCTGGCGTGGCCTGGCCTGGAGACATTTCAAAGATTCCCTACACAATAACTTCAAAGATCTAACTTGACTAAAGATGCAAAATTTGAGTATATTGCACATATACAAAACTGAATTTTGTAAAGACACATTTTGGCATTAACATACTGGCTTTGATTTAACATACCTGGTTGCACTATTCAACAGTCACACAATATATATCCTTGATTGAGTTCATGTAAAACACAAATTAGTAGGTCCAAATGAGATATCTTGTACACAGTGTCCATCTTGTAGGTGCCGTGAGGCGGCTTCTGTATTGTGCAGGGTCTGCATGAAGATGGCTGTGGTCGGATCTCTGTGGGATAGGCGTGTATACTTCTTTTCTTAGGTCATGTGCAGGAACGAGATCTTGAAGGGGAAGTCTTAGCAGTGTTGCTAAGATATTCGAGCAGGGAAGGTTTGGGATCGGAGAACTTGTTCTTGATCGGAGAGGTTCTTGTTCTTTCTTCAATCTTGTTACAGGACATTTCTTCGTTCTTGGTGTTTGGCCTCCAGGAAGGTAGTATATCCTTTTAATAAGAGACTGTCACTTCCTACAGTTTTGTGAACCATATGCCATGCTGCAAAGAGGTACAGGAAAGGACGGACTAAGAAGTCTGTCATACCCGATAGCTCCATCAAATTATTATTGAATGTTCTGATGAACAAAACCTTCCAAATGGCATGCTGGTTTTCTTGGGGGAATGAGTCAGCAAAGAGCCGGAGTCACAGGAGATTAATCACAATTCTTTTTAAAAAGAACAATTAACAATGAGCAATTTACAATATCCTAGAAAATAGCTGAGGTTGCCACAGAGAGTCGGTACAACCCTCTGGGCTGTGGGAGAGAGATCTGCTTGGTATGAGCGTCAAACCCCATCTGCCTAACATTTGGCTTCTGTATGTATTTAACAAAAATTAGAACCATAAAAAGGAATATGATTGGTTGATACATGATGGGCTGCGCCTTATGGTTGTGCCCTATGCTAAATGGATGGCTCGACAGAGGGGAATACTTAATCCTGTTAATCCTAGCTGGCACTAATCTTGTTGACATATTTACTGGGTGCTTTGAAAGAGATTATGGTGTCACTATAGACGAGCTTGTATTGGGGCTAATCCTTAATGCACTATGGACGAGCTTGTATGGGGGCTAATCCTTAATGAGTCTAAATTGAAGTAATTGCTGAATGATATTCCAATATAGGTGATGACAGATTTACTTAAATAGAATAGTTCAAGGTAATCTATAAGACTATGTAGACATATCTTTTGTCTGGGAGATGGGATCTTGATACCTTAGGCTAGCATTTATCTAAAAGCTTCAAATCTATTAAACTATGTAGACATAACTCTTGTTTTATTCAATAGTATGTCTAGGAGATGCGCTCCCATTACCTTAGGCTAGCATCTATCTAAAAAGCTATAACTGAAACTACTGATATTTTATATATGCATTTTACCTGATGATAAGTATTACTTGCTAAACTATAGTTATATGAAATGATATATAAATATTACACCATGATAACTCATAAAAGCACTTGATGTGGATCTAATTATTATAGGAAAACTTAGTATAAATGTTATATCATGATATCACACCTGGAAGTGATGTCAGCACCAGAAATAGTGTCACAAATCCAATTTTAACAAGAAATGACATCATTTGGTTGAAATGACATCATTATTACAAACAAGATCAGCAAATGTAACAGTAATTCTAGTGCAGGTATCACGTATTTGACTGATTCTTGATGCATACTGATTTTCAAGTCCTCAGGAGGAATTTCAGAGGAAATTATCTCGAGTCAGGATTAGAATCAGTGATTAAATGGTTTCCACAAGAGGATTACTGTCAATTACACAGGGATTTACTAGAGGCAGATCTCACAGGGTCCCTCTGGTATATTCTGGCAAAGATGTAATAGAGGTAGAGGATAAAAGATAAAACAATAGTTACCATTGTTAATAATTCTAAGAATACTACCTCTATTACATCAGGAATAGTCCCACCCACCTCCCCAATTCATCTCCCTTCAGTGGGTAGATGTTGGAAAGAAGTGATGTTTCCCGCCATTATGAATGTCATAGCTTGGGTTGCTAAAGTGCTATATTGGGTACAACTAATTGTGTGATTGACAGTGAAGAGGACATCTGTTGAAAATGTGAAAATTTTAGTCAGTGTGACTGAAGCCAAAATACAGGATTTATGGAAAAGATGTAATAGAAGTATTATTCTTAGGATTATTAACAATGATAACTATTGTTCGATGTCTGGTAGAAATTTCATCGATAACTAAGCACTGCTATTATTTGTAGTAGACTCAATACATGAACAGTCAGTGTAACAGGGATTGTTTACCCTGTTCTTGTCTTAATTAAAGAAACTAACGGACCAATGAAACTGTAACTACTCATGCTCATACCACCAAAAGAGGTAGATTTGGGGGCAGCCATGTTAGATAAATACTTGTAGAACTGAACTGAACTTTATTTACACTGTCATGGTGACTGATTTACGACACCCATTGTCTAAAGAACATTTAATTGCAAAGGCTCATTACCCTGGAGCCATGACATCTATATGCCTTGAAACATTTAATTGCTGTTATTTATGCGATGCTCATCCTATTTGTTAATCCCCATTTTTGTGTACATCAACCGTCTGCCATCCTGAACAGGATGTGCAAGTATGTCACTGATGATTTACTGTTTACATTTATATTTATTTCTTACTAAATGTCAGGTGACCTTGGCTATATAAGCCTTTGGTCCAGAGAGATTGAGAGCGGATGATGGAGCCCTCTGGATCCGCACAAAAAGCATTAATATGGCCCAAAATTTACTCCAAAAATCTCTTAAAAAAATACAACAATGGGCTGACAAATTGGGCTTCTCCCTTAACTCAGAAAAAACAAC